AGGGCCTTTGGTCGTTCGGGTACTGTTCGGGTTATTCACAGGTGCATGAATTTTATATGAAAATGATCTTTTTTCTACGCGAATAACATTAAGTTTTCCGAAGAATTATTTTTTTGATCATTGTACATCTGAATAATGAGAAAAAGCCATTTTATTGCTGGAAAAGTCTTACACGTTCGGGTACTGGCGCCTCTAAGGTATATATTCATTAGGAAAAATTGCATCTATTCTGACCTCTCTTTAGGAAGAAGCTAATAGCGAGGCGACTCTAATTATTCAACAATATCCCTATTACAAATTCATGTAAAAAAATTACATGAGAAAACAGTTTAATTGCAAACTTCACTTTTACCGGTTAAACGTCAATTCCCCTAAGATCTCATTTGTTGACTGATCTAATTGAATGTCTTTCAGCGAATTTTCTTGAATTCAAATTCACTATCAGAAGATGGTACGGAAAGCAGGAAAGAGGATCTCATCCTCATGTTGATCAGCCCGGAATCAGATTTCCTGAAACAATGAATGTTGGGGCGGCTTTCAAGATAAATAAATTGATCGAGATGGAGATAAATACACACTCCTCGAAGGAATAAAGGGACGTGCCTGACAATGAGAACCAGTGTCTCATATCCTTTCGTTGAGTCTTGAAAAGGGTTACGCCATCGTTGGTATCTGAAACGATCGGCCATTTGAATAATCCTGGTGGGATATTGTAGAATACCGACGATCGGTCGTGCGCACATTTGAATATTAGCCTCCTACGTATGGTACTTGGAGAAGAAGAGGGTTTTTTTTCGCAGGTGCAGGGAGAATAAAGGTGGAGAAAGTTGGTGGGGATAGTTCGGCTGTTGGTTTCTTTTCAGTTATCTGGGTCGGATGAAGGGTTCGATGAGGACAAAGACCAATTTATTACTCAATTTAATGTTATCTGAATTCAATAATAATCCATTGACTACCAAATAAACTATTTACAATAACAACTATTTTAATACCTATCATTTTCTCTGTCAACGTACATCTCAATAATCCAAGTATCTCAATCGATTATCATCGAATAGAAATTGCTCCGTGAAAGCACAAGACAGTATTCATTCCCCTCCAATTCTCCTCAGGTCCTTTCCCATCCAGGGCCGTCAAATTGATAATATCCACTGTGAAATTGTAATCGTCCCTCCTTCGATGCTTCGCTTCGTCGAGGAGTATTAATTCGCTTACGATGCCTCGATCGGCCCAGACCTGCTTCTTCGCCTGCTCCCACACCCTCCCATCACCCCCTAAGATTTTACCGTAACAACGGGCGCGCTCAGTCCGCGGAAAATTCAATAAGCAGATACCGACTTGCTCGAGGGAGGTTGGAAAAAAATCTCACCGGATATACCTCTTGTGCGACGCCCCCCCCCCCCTCGCCCTTTCAAGAAACTGAGTCTCTCCGCTATCGCTTGTTCCTTCCTTCCTCCTTCGAATATTGAAGCTCGTCCATTTATAAACTTTGATCGGGTTTTAATTCCTCACCCGTGGTAAGGAAAAAACTCCTCCGCTGGAGAGGGAGAGTGAGTTTTTTCCCCGTAACTGTTCCCCAAAAGTTGAAATTGAAAATCGCCGAGGGATGAAATATTGGGGGAATGTAACACTGAAAATTCAAGTACCCTCCATCGTTGGTATTTTAATTCCTTTTGCTATGGGACACGATTATCAGAATTACACATTTTTGCGGCGTTAAGGGGGTATGAGCATTAAGGTCACACTGAGAAAACAATATAATTCTGACAAACAAATTCGACTCCTACACAGCTAATTCTGTTTTGTTTACTATAAAAATTTACGCCATTCATGTAAAATAGGCAGAAAAATTATCATTTACATATTTAAAATATATTCTCGATTCTGTCAGACACATTTTTTGGATTATTTTACGTGAATGGTGCAATTTTTTATTAAAAAAAAAACAAAATCAGCTGTGTAGGAGTTGAATTTCAAAAAACTAATTGGTAATTGTTATTGCACACATTGCTTCAAAAATTTTGCAAAAAAAATCTCTATAGCTAAAAAATTGGAGGTTAGGGACTATTTCTAACATTTTAAACATCTGCGAGGCAAACGAACAATAAACAATTAATTTCTTTTACAATAGTTATTCCTTTTTAGACATATATAATCGATTTTCAATGTATCAGGAATATCATTCCAATAGTCCGCGAATTTAAAACTCGTCGTAGCACGCATGAAAAAATTCAATAGAAAACCTAGCGGATTCGCTAGAAAATTCTATTGAAAAATTCTATTTGTCTTTTACGTTGATTCTATTGGATATTGGTTAAGAAAAAGTCAATAGATTGCGAATTACTGTTTAAAATGTTCTCTTGAAATTTTTTCTAGAACAATGCTTGAGCATCAATTTTGTAAGTTTTTTTCACTCGCATTCTGTAATTCAAACCAAAACAAAATCCAGCAGAAAAAACTTGGAAAATTTGTGCCCAATAATTTCTAATAGAAAAAATCTCAAGATAAAAATTCGAACAGAAATTCGAAATCTATCGATTTTTTCTTATCGAATATCTAATAGAATCAGCGCCAAAACATATAGAAACCCCATAGAATTCCTATAGAATTCCAATGGAATTTTCTAGCGAATTCACTAGGTTTTCTATTGAATTTTTTCATACGTGAGTCTCCTCTTAAAAAATGATATTTCGCAAATCAAGACTGCCCACGAGACCGAGACTAGTTTCCCGAGCCTCATGCGAGACCGTGGCAATATCTTCCATAACCTCATCTCATCTTGTCTTTATCGCCATTTTTTCTCAATGCTAAATTTTAAAAATTGTACTTGTATATGACTTTATCATCTCATTCTGCTAATCCATTCTGAATTTTCAAGACGGATTGAACATCCACTTCATATTTTTCCCAAAAAACGCCACCATCCTCACTATAAATACAAAATTCTAAATGACATTTCAAATGTTCTGGAGATCGTTGACGCGTAAACTGTTCGGCTTTGCAAATACACAAGGTAAAACGAGGTACAGAAAAAAAAAACATAATCGCACTTTTACGAAATCGTTAACTCTTAGTTGAAAGCCCTTCTCGGAATTGCGGAAAGGGTGGAAAAAAGAGTGAGAATGGGTCTGGAGACTCCTGGTGGGAGGTGCGAGAGGAGATTGGATGGAAAATGGGAAAAAAAGAGCGTGTATACCTCGACGAGACCAAGTAGATGACGAAGTTGTCGACGACAACGTTGGTTACCCGACTGCATACCGGCAAGCGTTCGGTGTATACCGTCAAGGGCTCATTGTGCCACATTTTTAATTTCCAGGTGGATGAACCTTCAGTAGTGGTATATAAGGTCCTCTCACCAGACCCTGCTCCTTAACTTGCCTCTCCCACCCGTACTTCGGGAATTACGTCACGCGTGATAAAGTCCCCGTCGTCGGCACATAGTCCCACGTATGTTATAAAACACTTGGGTGAGAGAAATTGGAGTGATTTTTGTCCGGAGAGGGTAAAAAGAACCATTAAGCTTAAACATTTTGAACCATCAAAGGAGTTCTGTCAAAGAGGCAAAAGGAACAAGGAAAATAAAGAATAATCACTACTGAGTTCAAGTTGCACTCGATTTAAACAGTTGATGAAACACAAGAAACAAAACAATGGATCGATCAAACGACGATCAGCAGGCGGCTATAGATTATAACCTCAGTGCTTTTCTACTTTGATTCATCCCGCTGGGCATTTCACGGGGATTGAACCGAAGACATTTTGCACCCAATAAATAGATAGGCCCGACGGAGCGTTATACACGACGATGGGATCCTTATTATAAACTCTAACTAGCTGGCACATACCATCAACTGGTTACTACGATACTTGATGGGATTCCTAACCGATGGTGCGGACAATCCTATTTCCAGCTCCTTCTCCTTTCTCCTCCATCTCCCTGGAATCATTCACCTTGTCTTGGGGGATATAATAGTCGAATAGTTTCATCGACAACCGTTGCTTTGTCTCGTGAATCCGCAGATCCCATGACTGAAAATTATCCGATGATCGAGTGAGCTGAATTGAACATCTTCATTTATTATTTACCAGTTTGGCCAATCTCATCTGCCGACCTTCTGAAACCACCAATGAAAGACGACCATATGCATCAATCCACCGTTCAATGCTTAAATACAATGACCCAACGGAGAAGAAAAAAAATCACACACACACAAACGAAATGAAAGACAATACTTCGGGTCCAGGTACAAGATCACGAGTAACCGCACGTTATGGCCCTTCTTCCTCATCTTCACATGTTCCAAGATTTTTTAACGTATTCAAATTGTGTACACACACGTTTGGCATACGCGGTTGAATTTCAAGGTCTCCATACAGCTCTCGCTCTCGTGTACTCTTCGGGTCCATCCTGAATACGCCCACAAATTTATCATTGAGTATAATTCATTGAAGCGTCAATGCCGTGGCATTTGAATATGAAAAGAAGGAACCGAATAGGTGAATGGGGGTAGAGTGAGACGGCAAAACCATGTGGAGACCAAGAAGCTGTTCTCCCCCTCCAGAACATGAGCATGCCCATGCTTCGCAGAGAAGAGATGCCAGGCTTCGATTATTTAATCGATTCAGAATATTCAGAAGGGCTACTGGGATGTTTTTTTGTTTAACTTCCTGCCGATTCTTGAAGCCATCTGAAACTTCCTCTTAATCTGCATATACGTTCATAAATATGATTCAACATCTACCGAGACCTTCAGCCCATTCTATTGTTTTCTTTTTATGCACATTGATTGAGCATAAAAAAGAACTGATTTGACTCGGTTATTTCAACTGCAATAACAAACTTGGTCGAAAATAAAACGTTGAATTGATGATCAGAAGGATATTGCCGTGACGAATGTACTCGATGTGGTTTTTATCTCTCCAGTAAAAATTGGGTTAACTCGACAATTCGTCTCTCTGTAAATACAACGAATACGATCGCCAGTACAGCGTTACCAACATCTACCCACATGATATACGACTTTTAGCGGAGTATATATGGGAGTGAAAAGTTTTTGGTGGATTTACTAGGGTTCACACACTCCCTGTGGCTTTCGCTAAATTTTACGGGAGAATGAAACTGATCGCTCTAGTCCTCTTTCCATTGTTGGTTAACGTCAATGGAAATTCTGGACAGCATGGATATGTTGAGTATCATTTCATCCACTCTCTTGTTTGACTTTGTGAATGTGAGCCAATTATGTGGAATTTAAATTAGAAGATTTGTTACAGAGTTCTGATGAGGCGAATGAAGGACGCAAGTTGATGGCGATTTTGAGAACGTTGCCGGGTAAAATAACACGGGACTATGTGCCACCGGCGCACGCTGAAGCTGGTTTGAATGATTTGGACGTAGATGACACGGATGAGGATATCAAAGAACCGGCAACGAGGCTTATGACAGATCCAAACAGTGACAATGGCTTAGAGCCAGCTGCTGAGCGACCTTTACAGGCTCTGATAGCTCAGCTGAAACCAATACTGAATAAATTGGTTGAATTAGTGTCCGGAACCTGTTTGGAAGAAGTTGGGCATGCCCTGATGACGATTTTTCAAACTGTTATGAGAAACATCATGCCTCCTGCGGCAATGAAAAATCCGAAAAAATCTTGATCGTAATTCGTGAATTGGAGGGAAGTGTATTGCGAAGACGAGTGAAAATAAATACTTGAAATGTGGCCTTGAGTTCTCGTGGGCATTGTGATTATAACATTAATGAATGTGTTGAGATTGTCGATTGACAGCCGTTGGCATGATCGCGTTATGTTGCCGTAAGCGATATTGAAAGCAGTGAAACCGGTGTAAGCATCCCACCCCCTCCATCTGCATCCATATACGCCCGTAATTACCTTTACCCTTAATTATCTATCCAATTAGCCCGGAGCTATTATGATTAAACCTGTGCTGGTAAGTTTATAATAACAATTAGTCGGCATCGACCGAACTGAGTAGTGTGCGACGTGGTAATTCTCACTATACTCCCATTCGTCCCCTAATCAGAATATGCTTTGGTTTCTTCATGAAGTGTGAAGGAACACGTATTATATTTGATCTATTGAAATTTCAGGGATTTCTTGACGTTGAAGAATCATCATTTGAATCATTGAGTGGAAATCAATAAAAATTGAAATAATTGGACTCAAATTAAATTTTAAGTAGAATGGAAATTCCTCGATATTTTTTTGTTCATTTCAATTTTCAGCTTAAACAACAAAATTTTGAAGGCTTCTTCCCCTAAATCAAGGACATCAAGTCGCATTCAACGTTAGTTTCATAGGAATTAATACTAAACTGATTGGAATTTTTGACCCCGATTAATGGAGGACTTGCTTAACTATGGAAATATATTCTACGGGATTTTCTGGTAGATGAGTTGACTCATCTCGTTGACATACGCCGTTAGAAATTTTGGGAAATTTCATGAAAAATATGATGGTAATTCACATGAGAGTGACATTGAATCGGATTTAGGAGAAAAATGGTTATAAAATTTCAAGTTTTCGGTAGAGTTCAAGGAAATTCATGAGTTTTCAGTGACATGGAAATTTCACAACTTCATTGAATTTTCATGAAAATTCAGAAACAAAATGATACAAATTTTGAATATTTCCCTGAATTTTCCTGAATTTTCATCGAATAATTTAACTGAAAAATGAAGTATTTTATTGATTTATAGATCATTCGAACAGAAAATCAATGGAATATTTGATTTTTTAATGGCAACATTTCTTGAAATTTCAGTGGAAATTAAACGCGGTAAAAATTTCTAGAATTTGGCACGAAAAATTCAGACGAAAATTTGTAAGTGTGGCATCCCTAATATTTGTCGGCGCTTGATGAACAGTTGTAATAAAAAAACATGGCAAATATGTCGTAGAAATCTCTTCGATAACTTCCATTTTTCTCCTTTTTCTTAAAGAATACTTTTCATAAATACTTCTCCATCCATAATTATTATGAAAAAATTAATGAAAACTGTGAACTCCACTTTAACTCGTCCATATATTTATATGGAACGTTAGCGTTTTAATTGAAAATTCAATTAGTTTGCGGAATTCCCGTTTTCCTGTTACTCAAAAATTGGGAAATCAATTGTAGTTCCAGTGAAATTAAAAATTTTATCCCCGTGATTCATAAACATGATTCCCCCCACCCTAAATCAAATTCGATGTCACTCTTCTAAAAATGACTAAACTATTCGACCCAACAAAAAAAACAAAAATTTGAATCCGCAATATCGATTATTCTATTTTCATACATTCCTCCGTTGTTCTTTTATCGTTAAAATTGCAAATATTTTGCGCACATTGTTCAAATGCTAGTTGTTGTAACGAGGATGTGGAGATGCACTCGTAGGTCGTTGATGCATCGTTGTGCATCTCGAATCTAAAAAAAGTATGAGTATAGTTAACTTCATAAATGAGGGAGAGAGAATTGAGCCCTCGTGATTATTTGTATTTCGAGATGTCCCGGGGTGCTCGAATATTCACAACTGCGTGGTTCGTGTCACGACAATAATATGCGGGGCTTGGGTTATGATGCATAATGATGAGTGGCGGGAAAATACAAACGAATATGCCACGAAGTGACACCTCTCAATGACACTCGTTGATCCAGCGTCAGGGGGAATTTGATGGTTCAGCTCTGAATTCTGATATCGTCGATTCTCTGGGTCACGCTGTTGAACACTTGTGCAAATAACAACGGACTGATGAATAACTCCCCCTTTCTTTTTAATGAGACATGGAAACAAGAAAATGACGAAACATATCACTGCTTCATTCTACCCATTATTATCCATTTTTATTATTAATCCTCTGCGTACGTACGCACTGCTTTCCAACCTCTCATTTTTCAAGTTTATTTTTATCGCTTTTTGTATTTTAATTCCAACTTTTTTTCGTCCGACTAACCACCGCCGTCTGGCTGACGCAAGGGCGGTGGAGAGCAGGGGGAGGAAGGGGGGTAGCAATGTTTTTTCTCGCAAATGATACCGGAAAAAGTTGAACTCTAATGAAGTGAATTTAATACCCTCACTGGCCACCAGAATCACGAATCATTCTGAAAGATGAGACTCTTAAATTTTGAGGGGATTTTTTTCTCTGGTTTACAAATGTTTTTAGCGTAATCGGTTTACCCGGTGTTTATTAATTAAATAAATTTTATGGAGATTATTATGTTTGAAGAATGAAGAATGTATTATGAAATTATACCATTACTATCTGCAAACTGTAATAAAATAAAAAGACATTTTTTTCTCAATTACGTTGAAACCTCATTAACTCTGTTTCGTTCAGGTTCTTTAATTTTATTCTGTAACATTATCCAAAAAGAATGAGACTCCACTTCCCTCCGAAAGCCCGCAATTTTTTCCCCCACATTTAATCCCAAAATTTACACGAGTTTGGGCATCGTTAACGAAGTTACAGATTCCTCTGTAATCAAGGTGGAATAGGTACGTCGGAGCATTTGTGCAGATATTCAATACGCAACGTTGGTTGTTAGCATTCGCCAATGTTATTCATATATTCCGACCGTATTTCCATGCCACCCAATGGACGCATGTTACCACTCCAGGTTGTATTTCCCAAAGCCTCCCATCACCACCACCAATGTACAAAGCCCCTGTCCATTCTATATTTCTTGTCTTGTCACTTCCACCCCGCAGCATTTTCAAAATTTATCATGCTCCAATTTATTCCAGATAAAACCTCTACAATTAACCTCTGCGTTAATAAAAAATCCATTGAGACCAAGAAACAAGCGAAATAAATTGAATTGGTGCCAGAGTCATTTTCACGTGTGACAGGCTAGAGAATTCAGGGAGCGGAGATAAAGTAAAAGATTCCAAGGTTGATAGGGTGGAAAGGGAAATTGAAGAAACGAGTATCGAAGAACAATTCTTTCTACCGGGAGAGAAGAAACGCAATACAACACTAAACACCAAAACAGAGATGCGGAGTATCGCAGTGAGACGATGAAGGGGGAGAGAGGGAGGGGTAGTTTGTCTTGGCCCATTAGGAGGAATGCTAGTTGGCTGCGTTCTTTTCCTTTCTCCTCTGTCAGGGGGATGATAGCGATAGAGGGTAAACGCGATGGAAAGAAGAGAGGGGGCAACGGGGAGAGGAAGCGGTTGTTTTATGGCCCAGCATCTGTTCGACGATCGTCTCGTTCCGATACCACTTTATCCTTGGCGTTAGCCGTTTCCTAACTGTTTGCGAAACAAGCTCACTATCCTTCGTGCCTGGTGTGCCTGCTAGAAAGCTTAAATCCAAGACAAACTCCAACCCCGTTTGTTGGAGAAATTTTCGTCTCTCTTTCTCTCTGTACTTACCTCCTTGCCTCTTTGACTCTCGAACGTCTTTGCTTGTCCCACACGCCTTGTACTCGGTGTTTTCGCTGAAGTGTGTTGGTTCACTGTCTCACTTCAGTTTTACCTATAGTATTGCTTTTCGTGTGTTTGGGATTCTCCATCTTCACTTTGGAACGTTGATTCCAGTGCTCGCTTGCTTTGGCTGAAAGCCTTCCGCTGCGCATTCTCACATCTCATTGTTTTTTATTATTTCCTTATTTTGGTGAGAGGTTGGATTCAAATGGGTTTGGGATTTATGGGTACATTGGATTGTAAGAATCAATGAGGAATATTCGATAAATTGGTTTTGGAGGTGAGAGTGAAGATGGGGAGTGTTGATGGGGTGCAGAAAGAAAGGATACAAATGGCCCGGAACGAATTGCTTCTTCTCAGGAGGAAACGGGAATGGGGGTGAAGTGCTGCGAGGAGACCTGAACAGTTGTTGAGAATGAAGTATCGGTTTGGTAGCATTCGATGGGGTTGGCGGAAGAAAATATAGAGGTATGATTGTTTGATGACTCACATTGAGATTTTGGGCTCGACAACACACTCTATCCATTTTCTTTCGTAATAGAGCGCCGTGAGAGTATTAATCATGTATTGAACTTTCACGAATTTAATAGTAAATAAATGTTATTAGATTATTAAGTTCAAATGAGAACATTTTTGTGATCTATCGATCTAACGCTCAATAAAATTGAATCTCTTCACACTGTTGAAAATTTTTGTCTGAAATTTCCGGTACACTTTTTGGAAATCTTTATCGAATTTAATTACCACGAAAATTTTGAGGAATTTCATCATTGAAAATTCAGAATTTTGTGGAAAAATCAAAGAAAACTGTAGATTTCAATTCGATTTTTCCTTGAAAATGAATGGAAAACCAGAAAATTCCGGTAAATGTATTCTGGAATTTTCAGCACAATGATACTAAATGCGATGTAAGGAGAAAAAACTCATGAAATTTCAGATTTCACTGAAAATTCAATGTAATTTGCCACTGAATATTCATATGAGATTATAAATTTAAATAAATTACGGAATTCTGGTCTTTATGCTGCTTAAAATTACGGAATTTTACTGAATTTTCAGTGCAACCGGAAATTTCACCATTTTTTTCCCTCTAAATAGCATTCAGTGTCACTGTAGTAAAAATTAGTAGTCAACTCTCAATGAAATTTTATTTTTTTTCTAACAGTATATTTTATAAAAATCCAAATCGACTGTTGGTGATGAAAATTTGCTACTCGAAATGAAGACTCCATAATTAAGGGTCAGAAACCAACAGTCACTAGGGTCAAAATAAGGATGAGGGCCATGGGGGTCATATGGG